GATGCGTCCATGGACATATATATTTGCACAAACGGTGTGCTATCTCGAGACACCGACCACGGATTGCAAAGGTAGCGGTTGGGACAGCTCGGGCAAAATGTTACTTGTTGTGCGCAAGTTTTAGTTTGCAATTTGGTGCCCGAGATGGTGAAACGGGCTCGAGTCTGCTGGGTTATTTAGGGCGTGCAGACACCAGACAGACAGACAGACAGCCATCGCGAAATTTTCACGCCCCTGGGCATCGCGAAATTATTATTTTTCTCGTGCGCACATACTCCACACACGATCCCTCTAAACAGCTTTTTTTTTGCAAAACAAAAAGCGTACCCCTATACGGGCCATTCTTTTCGCAAAAAAAAAACTATTAAAATAAAGCAAATAATCAAGCCCATATCAACACCAGCGCACTACCGTCGTGTACATGTACGATGCGTAGGTCGTAGAACACCATCGCTTTCAGCGTTTTGGTGGTACAGAGTACGGGGAAATTCAAACGATGGTATGCAAGTATGTATTGCAGCACAATAGCAGCAGTGGTTGCGACCTTCAAATCGCCTTGTGTCATAGGGGTCAAACTAACAACACCTCTTCTTGTGGTCACCTTTCTGCTGCGCACCTTTTGACATAAGTTTCGCCTTCATTGGCCCCGGGAATGGTGCGTTAGTGGCCCCGGAATTTTAAAGACACTTCCCCGCGTTAAAGACATTTTTTGTTTTGGGAAAACGTTGTTGTGTCTTTAAAGCGGGGTCGACTGCTTTTGTATTACCAATAGCAGTCTAAGACTGACTTCAGAAAACCGCTCTTTTTCGGAAATACCCCAATACATCCATCCTCGATGGTTCTTGTTTGGGATATTAGTTAAAGACAGCGGGACATGAGGTGTTGAGCCTGGTCTCGGGGGTTCTATCATATTGTAGTGCTTACCTACAGCAGTACAAACTGCATTGTATCTGCTGTCGCATCCCATCTACATTCCATTCTCGACAGGTGGTTCTTGGGAAGAGAACGTGGAGGCTGCCTGCATGTTATATTATTGTGCAGCTCCGAAACGTCACGTTGTGTTTGGTGTGTTGATGCCTCTCACCTAGAAAGTGCGCCACGAGCTGCGTGAAGAACACGAATGCCCACCCTGCAAGGAAAAGACCGGCGTGAAACTCGCTCGGCGAGCCGGCCTCAAGGAGCGCGAGATTCGCCACGCTGGCCGCGGTCCCGTAGGTGACTGCGGAGAACACCGTCATTTTGAGCCTCCCGAGCTTGAGAACAAGCTTGAGCCCACCCATGCTTCGATCTTGCTCGGGTTATCACAGCACCTGTGCTGTACTATCCAGACTACTTCACCTCGCGGTTCGTGTTTCCTAGTTCACCGGCTGCTCTGCTGCTGATGACGATGATCCGGTCATCTGGTTGATGGACGAAAAGCGGCGCGATTACAACACGTGGAATTAGCCCGAGAAGCGCACCACACTTCATCTCTTCCTGGACCAGATTTGAATCGGAAAAAGCGGGGCGACTTCTCTGCTCTTGAGAAGTCTGACAATCACAGGTCACGCGGCTCCCGGCTCACAGATCACACGGCTCCCGGGCTCCCGTCCAATCCACAAAAGGTCGCGCTAAGGGCTTAGACGCACGGATGGCTCGAGCCACGACGACTAATGGGCGATGGTCCGGATGGGTCAGCCTGCTCGTGGCTTCCGCGGCCGTGATTACCAGCGTGCGCTTGGGCGGTACGCATCTGCTTCTGAAGGAAAAGAAGAGCAAGACGACCCCCAGCATCCTCATGATCTTCGCCAAAGAGGCTTTCGACTGGTCCAGCAGCACCACGCCGGCGCCTCTGAGTGCCACGGCTGTCGCAGTGAAGGCCATTCTCGGCGGGAAGAGCAACGGCACCCTGGCGCTGGGGCTGGAGAACGCAGTGCTCTCCACAGCGGGGCCCGACGGCATTACCAGGGCGGTTGACGTCAAGGTCGGCCCCGTCCGAGACTTCGTTTCCGCTCGCGTTCTGCGCGAGGTCAAGCACGCGTGCTCTCCTCTGGAAGGTGACGGCAGCAGCAGCAGCAGCAGCAGCAGCCCCTGTGATCCCAATGAGGTCGACCCTGAGTTCGGGACGACGCCGCTCCACCTCGCCGAGCTCTGGGGCAGCAGCGAGCTCGTGGAGTACCTGCTGTCAATCGGAGCCAGCCCCGACGCGTTCGACACCGTCGGCCGCCAGCCGCGGAACATGACGTTCAAGGCCTTCAGCGCCAACAGCAAGAAGGCCGCGGACGCCCGCCTCCCCTCCTTGCCGGACTCAGCATCCGCAGCAGCTGGCGATCATGGGATGCCGCAAGACGACGAGATGAGGTGCGAGATCCCCGAGGTGACCATCCCACTTTTCCCCACAGCAGATGGTGATGATGCGGCGGAACCCAACGACCACGACCAGTGGCAATCCTCCGCGCTGGCGGCCCTTGCCGAGGTGCGACGGCTAGTCAGTGAGGGCGAGCCCGTCATGGTTCGCAACGTGGTTCCCTGGCTTCAGCAGCAGGAAAAGAAGCAGCTTCGATTCCCCGACGCCGCCTCGTTCACCGAGGCGTGGGGACACCGGCCGGTGGACGTCGGCAGCGTCCCGTACGCTAAGAACTTCGAGCTCTTCAACGAGCGCACGACGCTCTCGGACTACATGCAGTCAACAACCACAACCGCCGCCGCCGCCGCTGCTGCCGACAGCAGTGGGCGGGAGAACGGCCAAGAGGCGACGAGCCCCGCCCCCAACTACGTGTTCCAGGTGGACACCGAGGCCTGCGCGGAAGGCCGCGACCTCCTGGGCAGGATCGTCGACGCCGCCCTGCCGTCCTCCGGCGACAGGCCGATCGTGTGCCCGCCCCCCGGCGGCGTCCGGGGCCTGGAGAGCGTCCACTACTACCTCGGCGGGCGCCACAGCGGCGCGCCCTTCCACATCCACTCAGACGCGCTCAACCTGGCCGTGTCCGGCAGGAAGAGGTGGTGGGTGGTGACGCCTCGGGAGGCGGTGTGGAGCCGGCGGCACATCCGGGACTACGCCGAGGAGGGCAAGGGCGGGCCGCCGGCCAGCGGCGAGGACCGGCCGATGGAGTGCGTGCAGCGCGGCGGCGACCTGGTGTACGTGCCCGGGGACTGGGGCCACGCCGCCATGAACCTGGAGGACGGCACGTTCGGGTGAGTGATGGAGTAAGACGCGCGCGGCGCGCTTGACAACGACAACGCCCAGCGGCGAGCATCCGATTTGTACGCTTTGTCGCGGCTACTTGGTACAAAGGGAGGGTACCGTTGTAACGTGCAGTATTTTCCGTGCGTGTGTACGAGGACTGCGGAAGGGTGTGGCTATCCCACCCACCGTATTTTCGATGAAGGTGGGAGGACGCGATTGCGCAAGGACTGGGTCGGCATATTAAGCTTTACATATGCATACCAAGATGGCAATGTTTTTTCAAGGCGGGGGACGACATGAAAATGCGTTGGTCGTGCCAGTAAATGATTAAAATTGTCGAACAGATGCGACGCTTCGCTTTTCCATTTTGCCCTGATGCACAACCGGGCATATACCGCGTGAGGGCGCGCGCGTATGGGGGGGGAGGGGATGTCAGTCTTCAGGTTGCCGGAAGATGTAGAATTGTTCGGTCGAGACCATCACACCAACCCATCACCCTCATCCGACCTCTCTTTTTGGAAATATTTGCAGGTACACCCTGGAACTGGTCAACCGCAGAGACACTCTCGCGTCCGTCCTTGGAATGGGCTGCGAGCAGTAGCCTGCGTGGCGGAATAGCAACGTCTTTCGCCCTTCGAGCAAGTAGTTCGTTTCCACCTTACTCAGCTAAAAGTGTTCGTCTGCCTCGTGTACAAGCAAGAGCGTCTGTGGTAGCTGACACTAGATAGAGCCGTCCAGGGCAGCATCAGCAGCAGTAGGTGGCAGAGATGGCTTGACAGTGTATAGTCTTACAGAGTGTACTCGTATGTGTAATTTTGGGAAAACCTCGTCTGTATTTTTGCAATGCTGTTGTCCGCTTCGCAGGAGGCCATGGACCTTCACACCGAGGAATCAACCAGCTAGCCCCCATTGGTGTGTATAAGTGTCGTGTTGCGGTTGCGTTTGAAAACGGTGTCGTGAAGGCGTCCGAACTGTTGGTTAGAGCGAATACCGCGTATCTAGCGTTGTCCAAGTGTTGGGTGTGAGATACTGCCCTGGATCATGCTTAAATGCCCTGTACAGTACCTGGTACATGTCACCGTTCTACATCAGGGAGTCGTTGTTGGGTTATGGTGCGGGTTTGTCGTAGTAGCCGTCTTGCTCTTTGTGCCTTCGGGTATGCTTGCCGTAGGGGATGATGGGGGGGATGGTCCCAGTAGAGAAGCCCGTAGACCACCCGAGAATGAGACCGGCACGTTCGTTACGAACGACGGTCGGTGCGTCTTACGGAGCTCGAGGAATCTGGTGAAGCATTCTTCGGTAACATGCAGAGAGCGTTCGTCCCCTCCCGTTTTTTTTTTGTTTTGAGAGAAGTAGGAGAGGGGCGCGTTTTTTGGCGTTGACACTGCAGCGATCTACCTGCCAGTTTTTGCGTTTCGTTTGTTGTGTTCGGGCTCTGGCTTAACTAGCGCACATTTTTGTGTTCCTCCTCGGCCAGACTGCATTTTGGGCTTTTTATAGGACGGGAGTAACGGTGCTAGTGATATGTTTTGCTTCACGGACACGAAAGGGGAGTGTAGCTGGCAGTATATGGTTCGATCGCGCGTTGCAATGCTGGTCTCGACCCCGCGTGTCCAAATGTGGTAGACATATAAGACGGTGGACACCGTCTTGCAAGTGGTTAAGGTGGTGTGGACTTCGGGTAATGCGGTAGAATTTTGTATGGAGAATAGCACTGCAAGCAGGTACTTCATTGAGGAGAGCCTTGGCAAGCGCCCAGATTCTTCCACTTCTTTGCACAAGTTCGCTTGAAGTCTATGCAGCAGTTGTGCAACGCCAGAAGTCTTTCAACGGTTCGGTATGTCGTTGTGATCGTTGATTCGTTTCGTCTTGGTTTACATTGCTGGTAGTGGTCAATGAGGTTTACAACCTGCATAGTTATGTGCGCTTCAGATTCCGGCTCCCCCCTAAGAATGGCGAAGGACCAATAACACATTTCCGAATTTGTGGAACTTTTGGTAACGTGACGGACGTGGAGCAACCGCTAAAACCTCGCTCAGAAGACTGGAAGAGGTATATCGATTCGCTACCTGCCTGTCAGGTTCCGGGTATGCCCCTAGAAGCCTCTTCTTCGTGTCTAGCAGGCAAGATAAGTGAGGGTGGTGTGAAGATGGCCCCTGTAAAGGGTCACACCTCCCCAGTGTCTGTCAAGGACGAAACCCTCTTTTCACAGTTTGGAGAACACCGGCAAGCGCTACTACCGTAACGGCGTTCATGAAAAAAACCTGATGTACGGTGCCACCGTGATGACGGCGCGCCCACCTCGTCGACATCATCATCACCAGCTTCTACAACCAAGCACAACCCAACCCAGCCCAGCGTAAATCATGTGGTACATCCACGCAACACGTAATAGACCAGAACACGTACACCTTTACGCATCTAAGCTCAACTCAATGTACAAATCCTGCCTACTTCTTGCTCGCCGGGTCGGAGTATCTCCTCCGCATAACCCTGTATCGAGAAAACTTCGATAACTCCTCTGCATCCCTTACAACCCGACGCCCTCGAGCCACGGCCCTTCTGATGTCTTTCTCGGAAGAAAGCAGGGCGTTCCTTTGCAAAGCTTCCCTGGCTTTGTCTTTGAACCAGGCCTCGCCGGACGGGTGACGGCGGGAGGCTAGCACGAACCTTTTGCAGAGGTCCCTCACCAACGGGTGCATGTATTTGTCTGTGCGTGCGGTTGCTGCCTGCGTCGCTGATATCTTTTGGCGGGTATGTTTTCCTGCGAAGGGCGGTCCGAAGCAAGGAGGCGGATGGGATCGAGGGCGGCGACCGGAAGCATGAAAGGGAGAGGCGGGGGATGGTCGTCATGCGTCTTAACTCTCCTTCTGATGGATAGATTCAATTGCTAAAGCAAAGCTGTTGTACGTAGTGCTTGTGGCAACGAGAAAAGCATCTCCGTGCCTGGAACGAAGAGTACCGTAGCCCTCTTTGAGCACCGATCTCGTACGAGACGGAGAGCACCCTTCCTATCTTGAAACGAGGCGCTTCAAAATATATACCGGGTCCTCTGTGCATACGTTTCTTTCCACTTTGACATACTCTAGATACCTTCTCGCTTATCGTATCCCTTTCTGTTCAGTATTTTGTGGCCAACATCCTACCTCCCATGGTAAACACTGTGTTCTGTGTTCAAACTATTCATTCGAGTTAATTCACCAAGCTTCGTCACACGTCACATCCATCCGTCTGTCATGATGTGAGTTGTACCCTCACTCGTGGGAGGGGGCGTGGCACACGACCAAGGAGAGACAGCGAGATCAGCACTACTAATGTTTTTCATTGTTGTTCTTTTGTGTGGCCTCGTTGCAGCCGTTGGTGGTGAGAAGTTCGATCTACGCAAAACCTTGTGAGTACGGTCGACGAAAACTATTTTTGGTGAGAACGGCAGGGAAGAAATACTCGAAAAGGAAAGCATTCATTCCAGGGTTTCTTTCCCCAGTTTCAGTAATGGTCTCATTCCAACATGAGAGCGACAACGACCTTCCGGCCTGCGGAATCCCGCCTTGAACATATATTGCAATTTTAGAGGATATCATGGAGGAACCCTATGCGTATCTGTTGCTGCTGAGGCCGTGCTGTCAAAGGCTGCAGCTGCAGTCCGAAAAGTCCGCAAATATATCTGAGTGGCCGTACCATTCACGATCCGCTGCGGTACGCGCCGTCACAGACCCAATCACCCGAACTCGTTGTCTACACCAGTAGTTCACATCACCAAACATTCAGCTGCATTTTACGACCCGCAAATATTTGGTGGTGTGAACTGCTGTGAAGGTGCACACCGCAGCGCATCGTGCACGGTACGGTATGGACCCAGATTTACGGACTAGTTCCGACCGCAGCAGCAGAATCTTTCGCCAGCACCCAGCAGCAACACTACGGGCGTGCCAACGCGCATATTCATTCACGGCTCCTCGAAGGTGTCTTCCTCTGAAATACAGATAGCGCCCGCACTTAAGAACTAAGTAGCAATTAAGAAATTGAGACTCGCAAAAAATCAGAAGCTAAGAACTTGAGCACCATTTGTGTGCTGGGTCAACAACCCCACCGTAAAACCTATATAGCGGCCATTTGTAGCCCACAAGAGGATGATGAGCAAAATATGAATCCCAGCCTCTGCCGAAACTAGAGGTTCCTAAGTGCGGGCGCCATCTGTAGATTATCAAGTCGAGAGTCCGCAATACAACGACCTTATTTGAGCACCCGCCGCGTCGCCTGTTTTGTCTTGAAATTTGAGTTGCGGAGAGTTTTGTCTTGGTTGGAGGGGACCTTATCGGATATTGCTGCATAACACTTCCCCGATGGGCCTTATGTGTCTCGTGTGCGATTGCTGGGTGTCGTTGGTCATCGAAGGAGAATATTGTTAAGTGCTGCTGCTATTCATAGACACATTAACTAGAGTATTGTTCATGTGGGATGTACATGCAGCTGCATCTTGTCATCGGCCGAAGAACCAGAGCCCACCTCAACTACAGCAGTATCTCTTAAAATGGAGTTTCTTTTTGCTGTACTGCCGGGTCCTGCTGCCTACGACTTACGATGTTCTTATCGATCGACCTGGAGTCTGTTTTGTTGTGGGTTACGGAAGATTAAACATACATGTGTATGCAAAGCACCCTACGGTGTACAGTTTCACTGCTGAATATGGCCAGTGTCCACCAGGCAGGGACGAAAGACGGAAGGTTGACGATTTGTTTCTCGGTTTCTCGACCTTCTTTACTCTCGTGGGGAGGTATCACTCGTGACACAGAACACACATACTACTCACCGTACCGCTCTCCTGATACTCCCTCTCTCTCGAACGATCAAAGGGTTAGGATGCGTGCAATGCCGGACATTTGGTACTTCATGATGTCGGCGGTTTGTTTCGTGTGTGTGTTCAGGTTTCAGATAAAGCCAGAGAGTGTCCTGCACCCCCCGCTTGGGCCCCCTACCCCTTACTCCCCCCCTACGCCTTCTCCATCTTACTTTCTGCGGCACCCCCCAGCCTGTTCCGCGGCGGTAAAAGATCAGCCCTAGATACTCATACGTACACCCCACGTTCATACGTACATAGGTCAGCCCGAAGGGACCCAGGCTCGCGATGACTCTGGTGCGCCAAAACCGCGTGGTCGCTACGGTCTTCGTGTTTCTGTGCCTAGCGGTCCCTTCCTGCGATGGCTTCCTCCTGTCGCCGTCGTTGGCCCTGGCAAGATTACGTTTAGCGCCGAAGGTAAGGTTCATTGTGGTATTCTGGTGTGGTATGTGTGATGATGTGGTTGTGCAAAAACAGCATTGGACGCCCTGCCTGATGTGAACTACTCGTTACGAGAATCACGCGCACAGCAAAAGACAGGCAGTAAAGCGTTTGTGCGAGCATGAAACTCGGCGCTGCTCATTGTCTATTTCCGCGTTACATTTTTGGTCACAAGCAGGACGGTGACTGCGCAATCGCTCCCCAGCCAGGAGGAGCAGCTCCGCAGCAGCTGTTGGAAAAGCCGGACGAAATCCCTCAGACCCTGGCAGAAGAGCCGAGGTTGAACCGACGAGCCTACTTCGAGCAGCTCATGTACAAGAGCGTCGCGACGGTGGCGATCAGCGGGGCGTCGTCCCTCGTTCTAGCTCCCACGGGGCGCAGCTACGCCTTCGAAGAGCAAGCGTCTCGATGGCAACCGGAGGTGACGCGCTGAAACGAGAAAATGATGTTTTTGTCATAAGTGAAAAGTTGCCGCTTCTCTCTGTACGTACTCGGCTGAGTTAGTTGCTGGGCTATTCGAAAGGAACGGGGGGCAAAGCTTGAAGTTGCTGTTGGAACCCGCTTGGCCGTTGTGTCGTTATTTCCAAGGCTCCTCTCATGAACGATTTGTCACTTTGGGAACGTTCCGTACGGGAACCAGCCACCACGGTAATGCACGGTAATATTTGGGTGGGAACTGGCCACCACGGAACGTTCCATACGGGAACCAGCAACCACGGTAATGCACGGTAATATTTGGGTGGGAATTGGCCACCGCGGGAATTCCCGTACGGGAACCAGCAACCACGGGAATTGGTTGGGTGGGAACTGGCCACCACGGTAATGCACGGTAACGTTGGATGGTAGCACCCCCCCCACACGGCGAAGTACAGGGTTCCTTGTCAGTGCGTGTGACACCCAAATATTGTGTCACAAGAAGAAAACAAAACCACAAAGGAGTGAACCTGTAAAGTGTGTTTTCTTCTCTTGTTCAATTGTTTGGAGATTACAGGCGAAATATCTCTGCGCTCCTTGTCAAATTACCGAAAGACGAAAGACGACGAACTATTTCCCGATCTAGTTCTAGAGCTACGCCTCGAAATACAATCACTACCGAAACGTGAAGACCGACGAAGGCACCACACTTATCTGCGAGACGAAGACTACCAGATTACCGGCGACAACGCACACACGCATGCTTAAACCACATGATACCGCCCGTACACTATATTATTCGCCAACAGCAGTTCCGCAGTTCAAAAACAATACTGGAGTAAAACAACACTTAAACACAATATTAGAGTGTCAAGACGACAGCGTCGCCAGCTGCTTCCGCCTCGACTTGTGCAACTTTCTCTTGGCACCGAGCTGCCGCTGCTTTGTTGGCCTCAACGGCGTCGTGAAGGGCCTTGACCTCTGGGATGTACAGCCTGTTGAGTCGGAGGAACATCAGTCGCTCTACCTTGCCGGGTAGCATAGAGCTGCGCAGGCTGCCAATCAGGAACGCAAGGGCTGAAAAGTTCCTCTCTGCCTGGCAGCTAGTAGACTCGATCCCGTGGAACAACCGAGCGATGAGCGCCAAATGCGGCAAGCCTGGCTCGACTTCGCCCGTTTCGGCGCATGTTCTGGGCTTGCTCCTCCGCTGCCAGAACTCAAGAAGCGAGAAGTCGTACTCCTCCTCGGCGGGGTCTTCCGCCAAGTACATCCGCAGCTCCCGCTCAACGATCGCGCCCCGCCTCGCTGTAGAAACTGCCGCCGGTGCAGCTCTACCGGCGCTAGCTGCCTTCGACTTGGCGAGACGTTGGAGTCGCCTTTCCTCCAGGTCCGAGAGGACCTTCTGCTTCTTGGGCGCAGGCTGGTTGGACTCTCCGCCGCCGCCCGCTCCACCACTCCCAGCGGATGAGGACGCCGACCCGAGATCGGCCTCCGCGAACGTCTTGGCCACGCTCTTAACGTCAGCAATCGCAGAGGCCTTCAGATCTGCGCTGCCGTTGACGAGATGCTCGTCCGAGCAATCCTTCCGTCTCGGGTCTAGCAGCGCGCAGATGCGCTCCAAGGGCATTCTTGCCGCCCCGAGCTCTTTCTTCTCCATCCTTGAGAGCACAACCTCCCGTACCTTACACGTCTCGGTCATCAGGTCGTCCACCTGGATTTTTTCCTTCAACACGCTGTCGTCGTTGTAGGGTTGGTCTGGTACGCGGATCTTGTACACGTCTCCGCTGAAGATCTCCCTGATCTCGCGCATGTTGAACATCGTCTGGCTGATGTGGGTGTCGGTGGCGCCTTGGATCTTGACGGTTACCTCCGCCACGACGTCCAGCAGGCTGCAAACCTCGTTCGTGACCGTCCACTCACGCGAGGACAACTTCCGGTTGTTGTTCTCGTTGTCCCTGAAGTACTCCACGATTGCCTTCTTCAGCTTGAGTAGCCGAACCATCATAGCGTGTTGACTGGCCCACCTGGTGGTTGTCAGTGGATAAGAGAAAGATCATGGGAATTGAAGAGAGAGGTGGTAGGGGTTAGGCGCTGGGTACAATTGTTGGTACACAATCAATACACAACACATTCCGATTATATTATGACACACAACCCGAACAATAACAGAACCTGCTTCACGTGGTAATGATGTATTTATTTATTTCTGATTTTAAGGTTTAAATACGCACGTGCAGGGTATTCAACGACGGCGCTGCTAATTGATCTGCACAACAAGAAACAAAACACGAAACGATGCAATATCGTAATATGTAATATCAAACACAGATTATGTGGGTACGGAGTATTATACGCACCTCGTGTCGTTGCGCCTGATTAGTTCGTAGATGATCTGGAACTCTTCTTGCAGTCTCTGGATGTCCTTGAGCTCGTCGTTGTTGACCGCGGAGTGGCTGAACACCCCTACTACCGCCGCCAGCCTCTTCATCAGCTTTTCCATGGCTGGGTTCTCGCCCGTTCTGATGGAACCATTTATCCCCAAGGCCCACATCGTGACGGAGTTGAGCCGGTGGGCGTTGCACTTGAGAACTTCAACATCCAAGTTTCGGCAAGCATTTACCACGTTGCCGCCCTGGTCTACAGTAAAAGCAAGGAAGACGTCCTTCGGCTGCACGTTTTCTCCCATCATGTCCGCGAAAAACTCCGTCGTCAGCTGCATGAACACAAGGCGGATCCAAACAAAGAAACACAAGGCCGATCCAAACAAAGTCAGTTGGTTTCAAAATATAAAATGTAGAATGCAAAATACAAAATACAAAAGAATAACTGTTAAAATACCAAATACCAAATACAAATCCGCATTGCAAAATTGAACATTGGGAACTCCCCTTTCAAAACACAAGAACTGGTGTACCACAACCACACACACACGAGCAACGCGAGGCATTTCAACGCGACAAGAAAAACCCAAAAACCTGGGTAACAGTCTTGGGTGGGCATATGCAACTAGTTCTATATTGCATTTGACAGCTTACCCATTAGACTAGTCTGAGTAGTCTCATGGGGAAGCCTCTCTAACAAAAGATGTACTCTCGGCTCGTAGCCACCCGGCTGGTCACTGGGATTAGAAGTCGGGGTCTCCGGGGCCGGACCCCTCGCCAGGCGCCGCCGGAAAAAGAATAAAGGTGTTTGTGAAAGTGACCAGCCGGGATTGGATCCCGTGCATGTATCCTTTGTTAACAGATCCGGTCAACAAGGGGCGTCTGAAAGCACGGCATGATGTAGAGATTTTAGCGATGACAGCACTTGCGTGCAACGTATCCATGGGCAACTGCTGTATGCAACGCCGGCGTCCCGAATCCAAAGGAAGCGGGTAGTACATATCTTGTGAAACTGCACGTATATCGTGAAAATCCTATCTGCCGCTCGACCCGGTCCTTGGCATTGTCGCAATGCTGCTGTCGCTGTGGCAGTATCAATCAGCAGCAGCAGCACCACCACCACATCGCATTTCTTTCTCGAGGGACTCGAGGGCTCAAGAGAGAGTGCTGCATGATAAGCAGGCCCGGGCCGTCGTGCGGGAGATGGGCCATTTGCGAACGCCGTGCCAACCGTACAGTAATAAAAGCAGCAAACAACGATCTCGTTTCTCCGGCCTCGATTGTACGACAGCAGTTGTAGCACAATTTGAAAATGGACGGTTGTTCTGCCGGTGTGAGCACCACCAGCTACTACCGAAGGTTCTCCTGTTTGGACAACGTCGATGGGTTTCCTTCCTCTTGAGTGCGGAAACCAACCGAGAAGATATAGAAGTAAGTTAGATCTTTGTGTACTGTAGGGGGGGTTGCAAGACCACCTACTACCTACTCTGTGTCGCGTTGTGAGCCGACGGAGTAGACTGCTGTGTTGGTTGCGGCGTGTTGAATATTACTGCAGAGATCCTGAATGCAAAGATCTTACCGAGTTGGTGCGTGGTGGCGCGTTCTGCACTGCATCCTCCGTCGATCCTTTCCCAGCAACCATCGACCCAGGCCTCACATAGAAGTCGCCGCCACTAGCACACTCTCGGACGCGAATATCGGAACTCGCTTTTACAGCGAACGTGTTTTTTTATTGTTCTTGTGTCTGCTCCTTGGCATCCAAAGATTGACGGCCATCCCCTACCCTGCCGTACGAAGGGACCGCAATACACCGTACAGGTTTTGTTACCGGCATCCAGCGTGGTGTTGCCGATCACGTATGCCTCCATCCGCGTAGAGCTTGGGCGTCGGCGTTATCCTCGAAACGACGGCGAAAACCTATTGCTGCTGAAGACACAGATGAGGTACTCCCGCCCCAATCATTTCCAAGACCGGCGCGACTGCTTCTGCTGCCAAGATGCGCAAGAGGAGTCAACTTCTTCTTTTGATCTCGATGCCTTGCTGCACCATCCGGGCACCGCCAATGCGCTCCTTTCTGGGCAATCCGAGTGGTGTTCGCTGCTGCTGCAACGTTGTTGCTGCTTACTGCGTGTTTTTTGTTCCCAGCGATCACGGTAGCGGAGGCAGGGTTTATTCCGTGAGACCACAAAGCGGCGCGCATACGGTCCGTGTCGCGTTGCAAGCGAGACACCCGAGCTTCCAATTCTCTCCTCTCGGCCTGCGGAAACGAACGGCATTTTGCACCCAGGAGAGGGCAGCAAAATCTCGATACAAGGGCAAAGTTTGAGCGCGGATACAATCTTGAGTGAGAAAGTTTCAAGGAGATCCCCAAAGCAAGGGCGCGGGGTTTGAGACGCGCGCTCAAGGGGATTGGTGTAGGCACACATGGAGCACAATCAGGGAACTCTGCCCCCTGGTGGATGGGATAAATGGAACGAATTGGTCCGCCTCTTTATTGACTCCGACACTACAAACCCTCGATTCGAAACCACACACACACAAACCCCCCCCAGCCGTTGTTGGTCGTCATAGATGCCCACCCGCTACTCAGACATGTCTCTGCACTGTCGACGAACATATGTGTACTGATGTTGTAAGATCTTGGCGACGTCCGGTCGTTCTGCGGCTCTATCTAGCCGCAAATACTGCATCATTGCTGCTGGATCATTGAAATGACCATGCTTTTCAATTTCCCGTGGCCCCAAAAGTTGCTTGTCCCAGCGTGCTCCGTGCATCCCTAGCTCAGAGGCACAGAGTACGGGTTCGCCCTCCTCTTGTATCACTTCACCTCAAAGGTGTAGCGTGTAGGTTCAGGCAGCTTCTTTCCGCGGCAGTACCGACGACAACCAGTAAGGCAGCACCAACGAGAGCTAGCTGTGCGCTTACCTCAGCCGCGTGAAGTCGCCTCTTGAGCCGCACCATGCCCTCCTCCCGCTTGATCGTATCCGCCAGAGTCTTGCGGAAGTTTACGTCCTCGACATCGCGCATTTCCCGTCCGGTCCGCACCTTTCAATACCACCAACAGTTTCACAGCAGGGGCCAGGGAAAGCCTTCGTCATGGTCTTGCTGTCATGGACACATTCCCAGCCCTGTGAACAACAGCGTTCCTTTTAGGTGAACGTACATCAACCACTTTGTCTGACTCTCCGTCACCATACCGTGGATCGAAGCGCTTCGCATTCTTTGTCCACGGCCGCGGTGACGTCCGCCTGCAGGTTGATTCGATTCGTGAGTCTCGAAACCTCGGACTGAAGGCTGCTGATTTCCTTCGCGGCTCCCTGGGGGTTGGGTTCGGCAGGAAAAAACAACGTTGAAGAACGGTGGGCGAAAGGGACGGAAAACCGCACAAGGTTATATGTGTTGCGCTTGAGCTATTGTACTGTACCACGGCACACTTCTTCGCGTATGGGTATCGCACGCGCACATTTGAGAAGAGCATGATGCATTGGTTGTTCGACTGACGCGTGCATTGAGGTCAGCTTCGTTTCGTGTACCATGGTAGTGAGACGTATAAGTGGGCACGAGACAATATTGAACGGTACGCTTCTGGAGATGAACGAGGGTACTCGACAATCACCAATCAATGCGAAGTTGAGAGTCCTAACTTCAGAACAGGACAAATCAGCAACGATAACAAAGATTAAGCCTGGTCAATCGGCCAGACTTCGTCAATAGCAACGACAGCAATCAGCGTTTTCAGAATAGAGCCTCGTCTTTGGCGCGCAAGCGCGCAGACCAACGCACCTTTACGGCCAAGAGTATGCGTCGGGCTGTGTCACCTGTGTCACGAGCATCTCCTTCATGCGCAGTTAGTTGCCTTTGAGAGTGGAGCGCCTCGGTAGTGTCCAACAGGCGCCGCTCCGCCGTCTCGAGTTCTGACTGCTTCTCTCTCAACTCGTTCTTCAGCCTTTTCTCGTTCTCGGACAACCTGTTACAAGTGTGGGACGGTAGTAGGGAGGCGACCGCGGAGATGTGACGACGAAAACATCGCGTCTTAAGTGTTCGTTCAACGGAAGCGATGGCTACTCTGTTCCATTCGCTGCAGATCTCCCAAAAGGTACACGGTATTCTCAACATTTGCCTGTCTTTGAAGGCTAGTCGCAAACTTACGTTCCGTCGACACACCACGCCTCAAGCCTTATTCGTTTGTTTGATCCACGCGTACGCGTTGCATCACGGGTCGTGTTGTCCCGGTCGAAACTTCCAACTTGAAGGGTGGCGTTGGTCGAATGGGGCTTTCCGAAGTTTCGACACACCTTCCGGACTTTCTTGGTGTTTGCTTTGTTCCAATAAATGTCATTTGCGCTCGACTTCAAAGCTCTTGGCCGCTCCAAACTAATGAGTCGATTCATCAGGACATAAAGGCTCGGATTGATATAGCATGAAGCATAAACTTGGAAGAATACGACAGGAACAGCGACAATGGTGTCAAAAACAACAACAGCAAGAGCAGTAGCAAGCAGCAGCAGCAGCAACCACGAGAACAACAGCGGCAAGAACTGCTTCACAGGATGTTCTATTGTAATACCTATCAAACTCCCGGCTGGAGGCGAGACGCTCCCCTTCTAGCTCCTTACGGACCTCGGCTGAAAACGCAAGCTCTTGCTTCAACCTGGAGCAAAGCCACTCCACAAGGTCCTGGCCCCCGAAGAACGTGCCGTCGTCGATTTTCACCTTGCGGTGGAAAGGGTGTTGCGTCGCGCAGGAGAGGTAAAGAGGGTTGTTGCAGTTTATCATCGTTCACTAAGAGGTTCCCTACCTTGATCTGGTTGTGAGGACCGCTGTTCTGTTTCGGTATGGTCCGTGGAACCAGGCTGAACTTCAACGATCTGTAGCACGGCCTTCCCTCAGTTTATGTTTCTCACGGCTCTCTCGTTTTCCACGATTTTTCGCTCCAGCGAGATTCGAACCTACAGCCTGGGTCAGAGGGCTACCAGGATTCCAATTTTCCACCAGGGCGACAGGTATTGTAAGTGTGCTCTGCGTCCGAGTTTCGAGCACCTTGAAAACATCGTTCACTCCTATCTCGGACAGGGCTTTCCTCATCCCTGCAGTGTTCTCCGTCTCAAGCGGCGAAGATGTGGAAACAGACACCCTCTCCGCCGATGTATCCCCTGTGGAAGCAGCCAGCGAATCACGGAGCGAGATCGTTGGCTCTAGACTAGACTACGTGTCTTTGTTTCATTCCTTGCTGCTGCGGTTGTACACATACACACGTATCGCCTTGTTGAACCAGGAGAAGCTGCGTTTTGTCTTTGGGTGGGGCTCACCTTAGGCAGAGATAAGCGCCCGCACACAGATTTAGTGTTCTGGAAAACCCGAAAACAAAACGAAACGTCCTTCGACGTGAAGTCTACGTGCTGTGACGATGGTTTGACATCATCCATCAAGCACCGCTCTAGATAACTCTGGATTCCTGCTGGAGCCGTACATTGACAACCTGCTGGTATGGGACTGACTTGAACAGTACCAATACTCTGGTCTGTTGCACTGAGGATACCAATTCCATCTTGTGGTCACTGCACACTTGCCACGTCATGCACGCCTACAGCATCAACGACGACGAAGTAGTCTAGTGAGACGCTGAGTTTACCATGGGTAAAGATCTTGTCTACATGTACGGTTTACATGTGAGGAGCAACGTAGAGCCACCCACCGTGATAGACCAAAAGCAAGCTTTTGTACATTTTGTCTGAACATTCGTCGCCTCCTCCTTTCTCCATGGTGCGTGTGCAAGTCGGGCGTGGGCAGTATGAGCAGTGAGCAGCAGGGCTCCAGAGCCAAAAACACACCCCGACGCGGCGAATCCGGTGTCGTTTCGGGCACCACCATTGTTGGATCGAGCTTCGTCTTCCGATACCCCCCACCGCACCCTTGCCTCTGAGAAGGGGCGCCTGGGCACAAGAACCAGGAAGGCGGAGAGGTCGACAACAGTTCATCATGAAACGGGGGCAGATGGGAGAAGCTGAAAAGCATGCCATCCGTCGCAAGATTGAAGAGAAACAAGTCTTGATTCGCGAGCAACGCAAGGCACGTACTGACTGCTGTAATCGCTCGCATGATGCGAATCATGATACGCATACATCCCTCTAGTAGGCTGGAGTTACACTCGAGCTCGAAAGGAGATGCGTCTCCCTTTCAATGAGGGGTTCCTGAGTGGTACTTGTTCCAATCGTGTTCGCCCTGCGGAACTCGATCTTCGTTGAAAGCCCCCCACGTAGGTTTGTCCCCCCGCGCTTGGAGTGAAGTACCTGCCACAAGGTCGCAGAAATGGTCCATAGTGTATCAGAACAACAGGGCCGCATAGAATGTTGACCCTTGAGCTTTCTGGAACTTGCTGAGTTGCTCTGGGTCTATATAGATGTGCAGCGGTCGCGTCTTGCTGTTCCACCGGTAATTGAATTACAGCAGTAGTCCCTTTCCTTTGCTGAGAGCACAATTTTTATTGTGTGACAAACCGCCACCTGCCGGGATTCACGGTTCGTAAGCTTCGGCCCATGATCGACTACATTGTTCTAATTGTTGTACTTCGAGCGGTCCGATCACTTTGATTTTTTTGGCGGGTAGGTGCGCGAACGGTTGAGCCGAGAGTGTGCGGACACGATATTTCACATCGCCTCGACGGAGTCTACCATCAAGAGTATGACCGCTGAACACGAGGTAAGTGTGTGTGACGGATTTCCCTCTGCAGCTTTTGATGCTGCTGCTCCTGGTGTCATTGCTACGAACCATCGCAAGGTTCTAAGTCAATCACTCAACCACAACTGGCGCATATTATCGCCCAACACTCATGGTTGGTGTACAAAAAGTCGTTGGTTTAGGCGAGGGTCAATCCGTGGGAAAACTTACCCAAAGTCCCTGTTGCGTTCCCCTGCATCTTGTCCGATTCCAGGTGGTAGCAGTTTCGCTCGTCACCCAGTCGTTTTCGGGGGGACATCCCACGCGATTGCCTGTACAGTTGCAGACTCTCTTCCCTGTACAGACGACGAATGCACCCGAACCATCTGAAGGGTCCAGTTGCAAGGTTCTAAGCCAATCACTCAACACAACAGACGCATATTACGCGCGTAACGCTCATCGTTGGTGAACAAAAGTTGTTGGTTTAGGCGAGGGTCAATCCGTGGGAGAACCTACCCAAAGTCCCTGTTGGGTTCCCCTGCATCTTGTCCGATTCCAGGTGCTCGCTACCCAGCCGTTTTCGGGGAGACATCGCACGCGATTGCCTGTGTAGTTGCGGGCTCTCTTCCATGTACAGACGACGAATGCACGCACGCTGGCATTAGTTTTATGTCGAAGACGAGGTGCACCCACCTGTTCCACACAGAAAGAACAACGTCCTCCTCTCGTGCATTTTTTTCCCTCCCCCCTTCCACACACACGCCCGAATAAAGGAACACCTGAAGAATAAGGCGGAAGACTTCATGTACGCCACGGCTCCGGAAAGGCGCGAGGTTCACCAGTACGAGGAGAAGTGCGCAGACCTGCAGCGAATCTTGATGTCCTCGGATGTAGTCGGTACGCCATCGTTGTTGCAGCCCTTGCCGCTGTGCCGCACGTTACATGCGAAAACATATCATATGTTTTCCCTACTTTGCCTTCCGTACGATGCATCCAAGGTTGCAAGCCGCCAGAAGAAATTATCCCCACTCCAGACGGTCCTCAGTGGGCTACGTGCAGCATCGAGCGATACCATCGGGGAGAACCAGGAACGCACGATCGATGTGATTATTCTTCCACACTCTGGTGTGAAACGCGTTGAAGCGTGTTCCAAACCTGTGTGTAGTTTGGATCAAAACCACTCTCACCAGCCGACTCTCAACGAGTTCCTGGTTACGTATCAAGTGAGGACCCTACGGACTTTAACGTGGAACGTACTTGTGTGAATGAGGCACGACCCCAACAAGGTTTTTTAGTATGATTTTTGTTTGCATGCGTACGTGCACCACACTACGAAGAATGTGATACGAATCACGCCCTGTCTTTGGGTGGTTCCCCGCGCTTATCAGCACCACGACTCCCCCGCAACTTATCGAAAGATGGCACCCCCCCGGGGGGCGCTTCCTCGCGTCTCAAAAGAGACATAATAAAATTGCAAGCGTCTTCTTCCTGCTGAACCGTGGTATTTCACGCTCCGAAAGTCATCATGCCCATGGAACGTTGACACAAAGGGCCGATGACATTTCACGCCGCACATCTCTACACAGCTGCGCATGCTTGCCCCGACTGTCGCCTCAGAGCGAGAGCAGAAGGTCCTCCAGGCAAGACTGGCGGCTCTTCGCATGGACGACGAGATGGAGGTGCGGACCGCCCGCGCCTAACGATTCAACAAGGATCGCCAATTCTACAGATTGATTCATACAAATTGAGGGATTTCCCCTCGCTTTTACCCCCACTTAGCCCTCGATTTTACATCGCCCCGAACGTTATCAATAGAAACTAGTTTCACGTGTATTCTTCACTGGGATGAGCTCAATCCATGCCCAAGTGGTCAATATCTTCTTCAAGGTTGAACACTGTACAAGGGTCTGTGTGAAAAGTGTAATGACGTGCCTCCGTCCCCCATCCTCTCACATCCGTGAAATGGCGTCGTAAGGCAGCAGCGACCACCTTCCTCCCCCCCCCTACAATAACGACACCACAGGAAGTGGCCAACGCCCGAGAGATGGACGCCCTCAAGCGCAACCTGTTTAATGTCAGGAACGATCTCGAGAACGTTTTCCGGACAACCCTCCATGACCTGAACGTGTCTTATCAGGAACAGGCGTTCGATGCTATGGTGGAAGAAGCTATCGTGTGAGACGTTTCGCCCTGTTTGCACTCGTTGTGATCCTCTCGTCGTCGTTGTCCTCCTCTTGACAACAAACTCCGAAGTACGTGTCACTCAAAACGACTATTAGACTCATTAAAGCCTGTTCAGATGATGGCAGATGATGCCATACAAGAGCAAGGTAGATACGACAAGCAGGGGTTTTCTATGGTGCAACAGAGAAACAAAGAACATGACGATTGTTGGAGATCACATCGATCAGGAGGACTATTGTTCCGTCTCGAAAGAGAGGCGCGGTCAAACGGTCAAACGACTGAGTGACGCATAGCAGCAATTCAACGCTAGCGCTCATCCTTCCCGATATCGACGCTTATCTACGGAAACGTAGCCGTGAGACCCGCGGGTGGTTAAGTATTCGGTTGTGCTCGCGATACGATTGTGTCCATTCCTTCGGCGACATGGGTACAAGTTGGTCAACATCTACCTTGGTTTCGAGAGGATGGGGAGGGTTAGGGAAGGCGTTGCTTGCCCCATGGAGAAAGGGGTGCGGCGCAAGACCAAGCTGCCGGTATCAGATACCCAAACGCCCTCTCCCCTCTAACAACTACGGCATGTATGACTATGAGTACACCCCCCCCTCCCCCAACCCCCCCGTTCTCAATTGGTTCGTCCGATCGTTCATCGCTCGTCGATTGCACCCGAAGGGCGAGGGGGGAGCTGCCGACCCTGCGAACGGACCTTCGCGCGAAGACGAGAAACGTGAACCGCATCACAGCCGAGCACTGTCGGAGCTTCCAGGGTGCGGGGTGTGCCAAGGTCGAGCGGGATTTAGCCGAAACCTTCGTCAAGTTGCAGGTGCATTCTACTGTACGGTGTAGAAATGACTTCGCGACAAACGGTGCAAGCAGAAAGCCCTTCGTGCATGCCTCTTGTTCTTTGTCGTTGGTTCCACGCGAGGGCCTTGTTGGGTGTCTCTCAGAGAGCTTCAGATGGGGCAAGGGAACGCTGGCCTATTCATCACCCCGAACAACAACCGTGTGTCCGTTCACTTCGCCGTGATACACGGAATTGGGTGTTTGCCAGTACGAAGCGCACATGAATGACTAACAAGCAAGTCGAGCAGGGCGCCCGACGTACGAAAAGCTTGTACATACATCGATCGCCAGTGTACCCTCTCTGTCCTGCCTCTGTGAGTATTGCCAATGTCCATTCTCTCAGTAGGTAGCATCAGCAACAACAACGACGGGTAGCAGATAGGTCTCGTGATGGACTAAGCCCGTGACGCAAGGCCAGTCCTGTGCCGTCGACTACCGTACAGCCCAACGGGCTTGTTTCAGGGGGTTGGTGACCGTGGAGAGAGCAAGGTGATTGGCTGCGACGATTCCATAGGGACAAGGGAATCGATGCAATCTATCGCCCTTGCTTTCTCTCCCAATGGAATCGTCGCAGTCAACCACCTTGCTCTATCCACGGCCATTACCCCCGCCCGTCGCCCCCGAAAACGAGCCCGCTTGGCTGTAAGGGAGTCTGGCTTTCCTCGACGGGCTTTATCCGCCAGAGAACTCGTCATTGTTGATACTGCTGTTTGCCACGAAGTATCGGTCGCCAGTGTGAGAGCTGTGGCTAGTACGTGGAGCAGACACACCGAGACTCCAAAGTGAATGAATAGAACTGGCAGTGATTGACCGGTGTTGGCAGGCCGCAGCTTTCCTCCTGGTAGTGTCGCAAGTTGCGTGTATAGATGTCGTTGCGGAAGGTACGGACCGAAGAGAACACCCCCGTTCCCGACAACGTTGATGGCGTAGTATGTTGTCACGCCCTGAAACAACAGAAGGGGCGTCAGGGTTCGCGGGACCTTGGTTTGGCGTAGGCCGTTTCGCGCGCTGTAACATTTTGATGACCCTCCTTGGTACCATGCGTTCTTCTGAGATATGGTTGCTTATTCCTACCCTGTTTGTTCGATATCAAGCTTCGATGTGCATCTCCAGCGCTACTCTGAGGCGTGGAGGGGGGAGGTAGCTGTATTGCGTGTCTAAGTTCAAGATCGTTCATTCGTTCAGGACCGGTGGGGACCTCCGTAGCACATGCAATACCCTGTTGCCCCACTCCTAGCTCAGTACCCCCTCAGGTGTCGACATATAGTTCATGTCCGAACATCTCCTTGCTAGTTTTGATTGAATGATAGGTCAGCTCTATGACAACAGCCCAGAGAGGTGACCTGAAAGCGAAGTCTGGCTTCATGGGCCTCCCTCTCCAGGATCTGGTTCCCATCATAGCTGCGGATTGGGCGTTTTGGAGAATGCGCATTTTCTACACGACTAATCCCCAACCATGAGAACACGTGAACATAAAACACAGGCGAAGCGCGGGGAAAAGCTGCGGCAATCCGTTCGAATTCAAAAGGAGGTTATCGTGAAAGAGCAGGAGGAAATGAAGGAATTAGGTGGGAGGCCGCTGCTGCTTATGTCCGTTGAGAAAGCGTTGGTGTTGTTTTTTATTCTGCTCGTAGACTGTGTGGCAATTGGCACGCGAGGGAAATTTGTTGAGCTTGTGCCGGGGAACGATGTTGCCGTGAGTATTAAGATCAACGCTGCTGCATCCGTGCTACGGTTTGACCCCCGTCCACCCCAAGGAATAGTCTCGCGACAAACTTGGAGGCGTAGGCGTCTCGCCGAGACCTCTCAAAAGTATGAAGTCTCTCCGTCGTACCGTAGTAGCTAATCCATCGTCGAGGAACTGAGGGGTCAACATCATCCACCTTAACGAGGGCCAGAAAGTCGTTGCTTGTGCACGACACTGCAGGTGTTCGTACCACTTCATCACGCTGCTTGCTGACTTTATGCACCAACCCTTCGATGGATGGATATGATGACCATCACCGGTACTATTGACTTTTTCGTTGATCGCTGGTTCACAACAAAAGTTTGGTGATTTCTGTCTGTCTACCGCACTCTGTGCAATATCCTCAAATCATTTTTTCGTCGTTGTATTTTTTTTTTTCTCGTTCAAGGGAACAGGCTGGAGGCGTTTCAGGCAGAAGCGGGCGACCTGACCAAGGCGGCGGCCGAGCTCCGGCAGGCCCGGGCCGAGTAAGTGCCACATTCTGTTCCTACGGCGTGGGTATTGTTCATTGAAAGTGCCCCGTTCTCCTCCCTACCGTGCGGACGAATTTCTTGAGAGACGTCGTGTTGGCAGACTGGGAGAAACTCAACTAGTGAGCACAGCCATGGGCTGATATTTTTTTGGTGTGAAGATTCGATGGTTGTACGGATTGCCTAGGAGAAGAGCTTCGCTGCAACTTGGCACGAGTACGAGTGGGTTGGTCCAAACGGGCCGGACCTCTCGAGGATGGCTTCTCCCCTTGTGTTTCTTCTTTCCACTGTTTCGCCCGTCCAGAGCTCGGTCAAACAGAGCTCGGTAAGACGATAGAGGCTGGGCGGATAAGCTGAATGTATCAAACCTCCTCGCTCTCGGTTGTGGGTTCGAACCTCTCCGGAGCGAACAAAACTGGCACAAATTTATTTGAAAAGTGCTCAGTCGGGTTCACCCAACAAAGAGGGAAAGGGAAACCCGAACGACCGCTTCTAGCGTGCACGTCGAAGATATGCACCGCAGGAGGCAAGGTAGACGATTCCTCCTGTCTGTGGGACCCCTGCTGGTGCGTCGAACGTACACCGAAAACATGAAGAAGGCGCCCAGAACGTTTTCCACCGAACAGACGTGGACTGGCGCCCAGAACAGTTTTGGATGGGGCGCCAAAAATAGCAAAACCTCCAGCGGGACGCACAAACGTAGGTCGAACGAACGGGCTTGCCCTTCGCTCCTTGGAACACCCGTCTGTTCACTTCGTTCTCGGCGTTGCTTTGCCAGGTCTGCCCGGACATATGAGGAGTACCTCCACGCGCGAAGGTGGGCGCACACCCTGACCAAGAAGGTATTTATCGCCGTCCATTCGCTTAACGTTCATTCGATTCTCTTTACAAATGCCGTGTACTTCCCCGTTCAACACTTGCAGCATGTCAGAGGCTCAAGATAAGTTTTCACAAGGAACTAACCTTCCATAGCGGTTGAGGTAAACCATAGCCACAACCACGACCCATCAACCTGCATAGAAGCATCACTGGGCACAATGTCGCGACGAAAGGATTTCCACGTTTCTACATCAACCAGGAACGTCACGCCAAAATCAGATATTAAATACAAGTACATCTTCTTTGTTGGTGCTCCGGACACGCACTCGTCCCGCGTCGGTTTCACCCTACATGACCGTCGAGCATTTCATTCCCGAACACGAAAGGACTCCGTGGGGGGGGGGGGGGG